ATTTGGTTCTCTGGACGCATACATGTAGATTGGTCCACCTTTTGAGCTAAGCACATCAGATGAATTGTAATCCACAAATGTCAAACCATTCATAGTATTCAGAGCTTTACGTTTCATATCCACCGGTGAGGTGACTGTGTCACGTGCAGAGTTGATTCCTGGTGTCGACACACTTAATAACCGAGTAGAAGGTCCTAAACCATTTCCTGGTCCGAAATAGTCAGCTGGATAAACATCTGTCAACGAGGATCGTCGCATGGGTTTTGCTGATACAACTGCATCAATGGTCTCTTCGACTATTTGTGTATCCCCGTTTGTGTAAAGTGATGACCCTCCAATGGGTTTGGATGATATGGGGATGAAATCGACACGATCGATTGCTTGTAATCTGTTTGAATTACTGGGATAACTTCTATACGAGGCCGTTGAAGGTAACTGCCTTTCAGCAAGTACGGAGGAGACTGTCATAATTTCCTCGCATTCAACTGTTCGGTTGTTCGGATAGCTTCCCGAATAAGTTGATGAAGGTTGCTGTTGCCGCACAGGTACTGAGGAGACTGGTTTAGACCGTTCAATTTCAATCGCTTCTATCCCATTCCGATTATTCTGATAAATTAATTCATAAACCGGGGACGGTGAACGTTGATAGGATGGCGCAGACGCCATATTTACACTTCTAGATGGTGCTGCTCCTTTTAAATTACCCGGATAGCCCCCAGAATAGATTGATGGTGGTGACGTTTGTCGCTTTGGTACAGCTGAGGTGGGCACAGCTTGAGTGCGCTGAATCATTGGTGATCCGCTTCCAGCACTGGAATAGCCATTTGAATAGATAGTTACCGATGAACTTTGTCCAGCTGGTCTGTTTGAAACAGGCGCAATCTGTGTTCTTTTAATCATTGGAGATCCACTCCCTCTACTCGGAAATCCCCCAGAGTAAATAAGGTCTGATGACGGTTGACGGTTAGGTACTGTAGAAGCAATAATAGTTTGTGAAGGGGGAATTGCTTGAGAGCCGCTTACACTGCTTTGATAGCCACCTGAGTATTTGGGCGACGGTGACGGTTGCTGGGCTGGTCTGGATGAAACAGGTACCACCTTTGTGCGCCGAGTCATTGGTGATCCACTCCCACCGTTAGAATAACCGTTTGAGTAAATAATTGATGGTGACTGTTGCCCAACTGGTTTGGCTGAGACAGATGGAATCTGTTTTCTTTGAATCATCGGCGACGGACTCCCACTGCCTAGATATCCTCCGGAATAGATGAGTGGTGGAGACGGTTGACTATTTGGCATAGCAGAGACAGTCGTGGTCTGTGCTCGTTGAATTATTGGTGACCCGCTCCGGGTGCCTGAGTAACCATTGTAATAAGTAAGCGGTGAATTCGGCTGTGATCTTGGTGCGGGGTAAGGAGCCCTACGACTCTCATTGAATGCTACTGACCTTGGAAGTTGGGAACTTCTATGGCCGGACGATGGGGTAGTTCCCAGTGACCTGGTCGTTGAAGGTCCATAATCGTTGTAATCACTATTTGAATAATTAGCGGATGGTTGAGTTTGAACACGTGGAGACTGGCTTGCCACCATTGAACTTCGTCGATTGGTTGGACTCATAGAACTTGATTGACGATAAATGGTTCTCGAATTCATAGATGAAAAGTTTTCCATGCTTCTTGACCTGGTCAGGGGCTGTTCCAGCATTGAAACACTGGCGCTTTCTCCCTCTATGCGGAGTAGCGATTCGTGATCTTCCAGTGCTCGGCGCAAAAGCTTTTCCACTTTTTTAATGTCTTCTTTATGTTTAACTCGATACACCTCGTAATAGCGTACATTGCTAGTCTGTGACTTGATCATTAGCATAAACATGTCCAGTCGTTTCATGTCTCGATGGAATCCCGAAATTTCTTTATATGCAACCCATGAACGAAAGGGATAATTGCCTTCAATTCGTGACTTCTTGAATGACATTCGATCCTTCAAAAAGTGTAATATGCATTCCGCGTGCTTTTTGCGATGATATTTCTCCAGGAGACGCAGTCCTTCGTCTGCAGAGAATCGTTCACTTGATTCCAGTGCACGTTGATACACGGCGTAGACGACAGTGAAGTCAAGAATATGTTGCCCTGTTTTGTCGTCGTAAAGTTTTCCATTAACAAATTGAGAATAGCGCGCCTTGTGTCCTTTCATTGTTGCGAAGACTTATCGGGCATAGACAGTTCAAGTCACTTAACAAGAAATGTCTGCTTAAAACTCGTGGAGCACTATTTATCTTTTACACAGATAATCAACACGTAGGTGGCGTAAACTACAGAAGGATCATGCAATCGCATCACTGTCGATTCGTGTAAGCATAGTATTCTCTCGCTGTCATTTGCGCGCGTGAGTACGCATGCACGGATTCTTTGCTCATTTGGATTATCTTTGAGTCACATGATACTCAATTGTTCTTTCAGCAAAAACAGCATCCAAAACAGCCAGCACGAGTGCGCATATGCACGCGTACGTACTTCAGTGTGAGATAAACATTGTGGTTGAAAATCCTCACAAATTTCAGACGCATGCGCTGCTATTCAACGTATTTGCAATTGATAAAAAGGTTTGGGGAGTGCTCATTTTTTGATTCCCATAACTTACATTTCCAGTCATGTCAAACTGGTTGTAGACATTTCAGGGAATTTCATCGGAATTACCTCGCAGACATCTACGTGCGCTAACTATTTACTCACATTTTGCAACGTGCATCCTGATATTGTTGCTTTCCTCTGTTATGATTATCTACTCCGTTACCTTTGTTGAAAGTGACTTCTGTTTCTTACAAACTTACCCCATTTATCTGTCTTTCTTAAGAGATATTTTATTGCATTGGACATAACCCGATTTGCGCTGATAAAGCTCTCATTCATGATGGTGGTTATGATGATGATGATTATCTGTGAAAGTATCAGAGCAAAGTTCATGTAAAAAACTCAACTAGTTCTGTCGTGGCAGACATCAGTAGAGTTAGATGTATAAACCTCGAGTAGAAGCGATTGTGGTAGGAAACAGGTCGGCTAGTTGGTTCGTCAATCTACTCAAACTCAGAAGTCACAGAGATTTTTGAAATTTTCTCACCGCGGTTGTGGAATTTTGCTCTTGTTTAGAATTTCTTTGATTTCAACAATCCCGTACAAATAAATGGCATTCCGGAGAAAGATCTAAAAGGCTACTGCAGCGCCTGTTCTCTTTTGCGATAGGCTCTATTTCAATCATGTGAGACCATTGGAAATGTTTACCAGATTGTCATAAATGCTCTCTGACCTTTGAAAAATACAACCCAATGAGGTAAATCATCAACTTGAAGAACAGTTTATAACCTGATTGAAATTAGTAACTCATTCATTGTATCTCTTCTTGTAGACAGCTGAGTTATCCTCTACAGAATCAGACTGTTTCGGAAACAGCCTCGTCGCCGCTTCCTGCTTCCTTGGATTGCCTCGCTTGCAATCACTCATGTTGAAGCCAACGATTTTTCTCTAAGTTCAGTGTTTTAACTCTCATTTTGTCCTATAGAGAAACTTAGTTACCTAGTTAATCTATTTGGTATTTGTTTATGCTTTCACGGTCTCATATAGAATGGTTTGGTGCAAGCGATTTGCATGATTTCCATCTCTCTTTTGATTCAGCTCCTGCCACGCCAGTTGCCTTGATTCTATCTAGAGGGAAGCTCGGTATTGTTCAGGGAAATACGCCAGTGGTAGTGGAATAGCTAAATGGAACGGCCAAGGTGAGTGATGTGATCGTCGACTTTGTCGGAGCTCGATGACTAATGTTCCACGCGGTAGCCGAGTCAAGAAGTGAATCATCTGGTGCACCGAGGTCTCATCTCACAAGAGGTAATTCGGTTTTCAAATGAAAATTTTTAAACAATATGTAACTTACTTTTGTGTGTCCCTGTCAGGACTCGAACCGCAATCAGTTGAGTCGGGACTTCAAACCCCTAAGCCTGAGCTGCACGGTCACACATAGAAAGTGCCTGGTGCCTCTGAACAATCGAACGGGCTAATCCAAGCTTGATACTCTAA